TGATCTTTTTGTGTTTTATTATTTCTAGCGATTCACGAATATTATTACCTATTACACTTTTAGGTTGAGCTAATATTACAGTTTTTTCCCATAATATTGTTTGTTGTGTTTCTTGTACATGTTTTGCTATGGATGAAGTTTCAGTTTTTTATTTTTTACATATCCTTTATGCTCATTTAAGCGGTATTTTAAATTATGTTTTGTCTGACCAATGTAAATACTTCCACATTCACATTCTATTTTATATATTCCAGTTTTTCAGTTAAATGTATTTCGTCTTTCGTAGTACCTAAGATTTGATTCATCTTATTTATTGGTTTAAATATAGGGTAGAATATCTGTTGTTTTTTGAACACTTTAAATAAACTAGTAGTTAAACCTGGAACATATGGTAAGGTTAAGCCTTCCTTTCTAATTTTTTCATAACTAGGTTTTAAAGTACTAACTTGATCAATTTTTATAGTATTAGTGAATTTCTTAATTGCTCTATCTATAAGATCTGGGTTAAAACCTCTTTCGACTGCTATATATTTAATTAATAATAATTCGTTTTATAGATCATTTTGGTTAGTACATATCTTCTGTTAACATAACTATAAAACGCAGACATTTTTTGTGGCTTAGTATGACATGATTTTTGGTATGAACATAAGAACAGAAAAAGGTTTCCGGTAAACTGATGTTTCTAAATAACCTTGTACATTCCTTTTCACCAATACATCTAGAAAAGGCAAACTATTATTTTTCTCAATTTCAAACGTAAATTGTATAGATGGCTCAATGCTGTTCAAATAATAAGCAAACTCTGTTAATGACTTATTACCATATTTCCACACCAAGAATGTGTCATCTACATACCTTATCCAAATATCAGGTTTACATTTTACATTATTTATGGCTTTATTTTCAAATACATCCATATATAAATCACATAATAATGGTGAGAGTGGTGATCCCATAGCTAACCCTTCATCTTGTTTATAGAAATTATTGTTAACTTGATAAAATGGATTCATAACACATATCTTAGTTAAATTAACTACATCTATAGTTTCAACTGCTGAAATTTTGTTTTCTAAAAATTTTGTTTCAAAACATTTAATTGCATTATCTACTGGTACTTTTGTAAATAGGGATACTACATCAAATGATACTACAATTTGCCCTCCTTTATCAGCTTTACAAATAACACTATTATTATTATTATTTAATAATTTAACAGCCTTGATATCTACATTTTGTTTTTTCACTGCTGGGTTGAAATTACAAGTTTATAACATTCTGAGTCGTCAACTTTTTGAAGGCCATAGATAAGCCTAAATAATATGTTTTTAATTGTGTACCAGTTTAACGTTGAATATTATTTATGATTTTTACTTATACACAAGTGCCAAAATACTATAATCAGTATATACCTTTTTTGGATTACTTCTCTAGTCGCTTTTTATTATCTTTGTTTAGCTTCAAAGAACCACACTTACAGTCAGTATCTGTGAGAGACTTGTACCGTTGCTTCATTTTCAGTAGTTAATTAGAATGATGAAGTTCATTGCTTTGTCTTAAAATTTAGTAGAGATGTTGGAAGTGTATTTGTAACTCGGGTTCTTCAGATACTTTACCTGAGGAAAAAGAATGTATCCACCGCTACGGTTCCATTCATTAAAGGTTGAGCTAAGAAAGAAGACACAAAAGCAGTAGCCCCAAAACTGTCAGCTGAAACCCAAACAAATATGGAGATTGATCAACATGAAATATCCGTCAAAACCGAAAAGACAGTCGTAAAATGTTTCTATAAACTATTATGTTCTATTATCAGTTACTACTCTAGTGTACTGAAACCTAATGATCTTAATCCAGACCTGGAACAAATTGGAATAAACTGCAATAGTTATGAATCCCGATGCATTTTGTCCCTTTTAACATATCAAAAATAGTCCAAATAGTGTAACATCTTATTTTGGGGGTGGAAGATTGAGTTTTGACGAAAAATAACGAGAATCTAAAAATTCGCAGTAATTTTGGTATTAATGGCCGAATTTGAGTAAAATATCCACTTTTTTCCAGTTTTCTTTAGAAAATGACAAACTTTTCAGCCAAAAATAAATAAAGAAAGTGCCCCAAGTGGTACAGTAGTAAGCCTGAAGACTTATAACGACATAAACCGGGTTTCGACAATTTCACAATAGACTCCAAACAATTTAAGATATGATAGACAGCAATACTATGCATATCTTCATTGGCGTACATCAAATAATATTGAAGATTTTTTATTTTTATTTTTTGCTAAGATATTAACATAGGGTAGTTGTAACAATGCTACAAACGTATGAGCAACTACAATTCCTAATAATGTCACGTAATGAACCAAAAGGGTTTAAGGTTTAAGTATAATTTAAATACCCTACATATGGTCTTTCTTTGCATAAGTGTGTTCATAAGTATGTTCTCCCACAAACTGTATGTTCATATCCAAACTTCATTTGTAGTTTTGTTTGTTATCAAGAGCACAGACAGCAGAACAAGTTTTTTTTGGGGGGGGGGGGGTACCTTAGTTTCAATGTTAAAATAGCGACTTTCTTTGATAATTATACACAAATCTCTATTATTCATTCCAAGATTCACCTCACTACTGGGTCAAAAGTTGTGGGGGGGGGAGGCACGTGCCTGCAGTTTCCTCCGGTTCCGCTGCCTATGATCAAGAGATTATGCAATAATGAAAAACTTAGATATCAAACTTAGAATAACAACTGTTACATAATTTGACATTTACATGTTATAAAAAATATTGGATATTTTCCGTTTGTTGCCCAACAACAGTACAAAAATGGCATTCTTACAAGGGTTAAGTGTCCCGAATGTAGAAGGTTATTTTTACCGGCATGAAACTGTAAATCACAGTGAAAATTTTGTAGATCCTGAAACTTGCAGCCATACCAAAAATATTGAAACTGTGTGGTACAGTTTAAAGCGAAGAAATAAGTGTCAATGCGGAACTCGTCGCCAAATGCTTGACTCTTATCTTTGTGAATTTATATGGAAAAATAGAAAAAAAGATGAAGGTTTATTCAAAGAAATATTGTTTAATATCGCAGAATTCGCTAAATAAATATCATATAATGTTTTATTATTAATTATTTTTATTTTATTACATTACTGGTGTTATTTTCAAAACGATCTGTTGGTGGACACCAAACGGAAAATACCCGAAATATTATTAATAAACATTGATACCATTTTTGCTTCTCAATTAAATAATGATAAATTAAGTTAAGACAATCTTTAGTTGATCTATCATCACTAAACAGAAATTCATTATTTTTATTGATATGACATAATCTTATATCTTACTGAAACCCTGGTAATTGATGTAAAAGTATAAGTGTCCCCAGATAATCCACAAAATCGAAATCAGACGAATTCCGTGAAGTGCGCCTATCGTGCGCGCACTTGTCTTTGTGCTGAAGAGTTTCTTTGAATTTGTATAAAGAGAGAAAGCCATGAAATATTCCAGTGAGGTTCCTGAAAGGTTTGAAAAATGAAATATGGTTTAATATACTCATCACACACACACACATACACACACTATATTACTAAAAGTATTGGAACAGTCAGCTAGTAATGGACACGCCATTTAAACTTACATATAAATCCCACGATGCATGCCAGCATATTAAGTTTGTACAGGAAGATCTATGCTTGCAGGTTTCATAGATGGGCTGTACGATCTAAGTCGCGTATCGCAGTCGTGAGTACAAATAATCAATCGGATTACACAGAATAGCAACTGCCGTAAAAGGATACAACATGTTCAAATGGACGGATCAGGTTTTGAAGGCAACCTGAAGAACGTTTTGGATACGAGTGTGTAGTGTGAGTTTGTTTTAGCTAGATTGAACTTCATCTAATGGTAATTGTTAACGAAATCATGAATACCTTCTCATATTGTGATATGATAGACAATGCTGCACTATGAAATTCGTCATGATAATACACTATGCCATACCGCTCTCGGCGTCCAACAGTTGATGAGATAAATGATCGTCAGAATCTACATTAGACAACCCCAGAGCCTCGAGCTAAACCTAAAGTAATCACTCTTGAGTGTATTGGATCGCCACCTGAGCGAAATGTTCCTAATTTCATCATTTGAAGCTGCTTCGCAAGACGCCGGGAATAACGGTCTATTCCACCAGACATGCTCGCCCTTTCAGCCCTGGAAGGGGGGTTATAATGTGACGGTCAATCCCACCATTCATTCGTAAAAGAGTAGCCCAAGATTTGGCGGTGGGTGGTGTTGACTAACTTCCTTCCCTCTAGTCTTTCACTGCTAAATTGGGGGGCGACTAGCGTAGATAGCCCTCGTGTAACTTTGCGCAAAATTCAAAACTAATAAACAAGCCATCAGACACCCTCAGGTTCCATATAAAAAAAAAAGCTACAAGGTCAAACAAAACAACTACCATCACCTACCGTACACTTAAACACAATAATAAACTAGCCTACACGAATAAACAGAAAGCACACGCCTTCAAAGAACAACTCCAAAAACTTTCAAATCACGAGACTACTCAAATATGAACAACCACTTCATGACCACTCAACACAATAACATAACAACAGAAACCGAACACGACTACACAACAAAACAACTTATCAGACCATCACAGTAACAGAAGTACAAGAAAGCATAAAACAAAATTCAAAATGTATTACTCAAGAAAGGCCCTCTGAAGTTATTAGAATATCTCACATCTTTATACAACTTATCTCTAAAAACAGGATACATATCAACCGCTTGGAAACAGGCCAATGTTCTTGTGTTCCAGAAGAAAGGAAAATCAGCGAACAACCCTGAAAATTACAGATCCATAAGTCTAACAAGCAACCTACAAAAATTACTTGAAAAAATCATAAATAGTAGACTCATAAATTACCTTGAAACTAAATCAATACTCCCGGAAATACAAAATGGGTTCCGAAAAGCAAGACAAACAACAGATCATCTCATAAGATTAATGGAAGAAATAATACACGGCTTTAATAAAAACCAATATACAGTCGCATGCTTCCTGGATGCTGAAAAAGCATTCGATAAAGTATGGCACAGCGGACTTGGATCTAAATTATCCAAACTGGGATTCCCCATAGACATTATTCGCTGGGTTTCTAACTTCCTGGTATATATAGGAGCATCAGAGTGAATGTTGAGGGCCCCTACTTCGAGTGCTGCACTCCGGAGGTGGGTGCTCCTGCACTATATATCATGTATGTCAGCGACATGCCTCTCAAACCACACTTTTTTGCTCACAGTTCGCAGATGATGGTGCAATCTGGAAGAGTGCCCCAAACCTAATAACAGCTACATACAATATACAATCACTACTAAACGAAATATAATTGTACTGCAATAAGTGGAGAATTGAAATAAATATTATTTACAAGCAAATTAATACCACGGTTATATCTAGACGGGACTCACTTACAGGTAGCAACATCAGCAAAATTCTTAGGGATTACATTTGACTCAAAATTGAACTGGATACCACACATACCAGAATTTAGAAAAGAGCGAGTTACCTCAGGAGCCTGACTGGCAACAAACAAGGAGCTTCACCAGAAAACATATTAAAAATTTACAGAACAAACATAAGGCCAGTCGTAGAATATGCCTGTATAACATGGATAAATGTATCAAAAACACACATCAACAAACTATAGCAAATACGAACTATATTTTAACGAAAGCATATAGAGTCCTACGATCAAAACTCAGAATTACTACACAACTATTCAGATCAGACACAAATGTAGTTCTATTTTAAAATGGTTTTGTATGTAAAAATAGGATTGTATGTGTGTATATATATACACCTGGAAAAAAGTTAAGCACCCCCGTGTTTTTTTCAAGTGATTCAGATTCGACGTTCTTGTGACTGATTATAAATTACCATTCAATCTAAACGTGTTTATCAAATGAAATTATGCATTATTGGGCACAAGAAAACAAGATTATCAACCGTAAAATAACTAATTTTTAATTTACATATTATGACATTCAAAATATGGACA